TTCACAAATATTTTAAATTTAAAAAGTGTTAAAGCACGTTCCGTGTTTTCCAGTTCAACAACAACAACAACCACCCTACAAAATTCAAGTTCCCATGGAAAGAGAATGATAGGTAGGAGACCGTGAAATTCAGAACAACGCAGGCAAGGGAGCCCCAAACAACCAGGGGCAGCCAAGGTAAATGCAGGATGTATTGCAGCGGGCCACACTGTCTACTACACAGGAGATCCAGTGGTTCACGTCTTCAAGAGACTTTTTAAAAACCATCTTCTCTCTCCAAAGCAGGTGGAAGCTACGCTAGTTTCTTGAATACCAGGAATAGTGTTGGTACACTCTGTTCTTTTCTTGAATTCATACAACACCAAATAAAAACAAACAAAAAAAGAAAATGAAAGAGGCAGAATTAAATTGCCATACTAAACTAATCTAGCTCTATGCAGGAAGTGGCTGGTGCTGTTGTTTTACATGTGTTCACAGCAGTAGTTTGCCTTCTCTCTGACACTGCTCTGAGATTATTTTTCTTTGTTAGTTGGTATCCTGAGGCACCACCAAAGTCGATCCATTTCCACAACCCGTCCTGATACTGCAGGGGGAAAGAAAAATTGTGACATAGCGGAAGGCTGGCTACCACTAGGAAAGTCATGAAATTTCAGGAGTGACTGTCCATTTCTAGTGGCTTCATTAGCTAATCCATCCACACTACTTAGTTCTCTTATACCACCCCTCAGATTTTCAGGGGATAGTGCAGAAGTTTTTTCATAAGACTCATTTACTTTATTGGGAACCACACCACTCTTCCTTCTCACTATTGTGTGAATTCAAATCTAATTATTTAAACTAGGGATTTTCTCAGGGTCAATTAATCTTAATGGAATGAAAGGTCCTTTATCAGAATAGATGGTCACTTCAAGAGCTAGGGAGGCAATAGACATCAGATATTTTCCCATGTTTTCTACATACGGCGAAATCCAATGAGATCAATGGGACTAGTTGGGATGGGAGAATAAGGAAAGCAGAATTTGGCCTCTAATGGTTTTATCCACAAGGGAATCACTGTCTTCTCAATTATGTTTAACTACAGAATAGAGCTTTCCATAAGAATATTCCAGTTTTTTATTCACTTTTAGAAAGTTAATGTCACAAAAGGGGTATTTGGTCAGGCTTATACATTAAACTCCCTGCTATAATTTTACACACACAGACACACACCCATACACACTTTTGTTCCATTAGAAGGACAGAGGCAATCTGTCTGTCTCCCATTCCCCATTTCTGCTGCTCCTGCCTCAGGCTTTTTCTGCTCTGCTGCATGGGCTCTCTATTGAAGAGGAAAGTGCTTTTTGGGAACCACTATTTTGAGGATACAGTGGCAACCTGCTTGTTCCATATTGTATTTTAAACAGTCATTTCAACTGCTATTCAAGTTCAGAACAAAACACCTGTTTCCTTCAGACAGAGGAAAATATTTTGTATCAGCACTAATAAACCAGGTGCTCCAAACCTGCTATCTTCAAAGGGCTCAAGCAAGGAGCTTCCATCCTGTATGCTCCAACATCAAACATGACAGTAACTCATTTCTCTGACCAAAGAAAAAATGAGCAGTGTCTCAGACTAAAGTCTGTCTAGACAAAACACCAATGAATCACACTTCAATCCATGCTGGCTGAAGAGAGATGCAGCACACTCAGCCTCATAAAAAAATGGCAGCGTTGGTTTATTTGTTACATTTAAGACAAAGCTGGTTACTGAAAATATCAGGGAGAGAATGCAAAATGCAAGAATGAGAAAGGAATCCCACACACACAGTCAGGGTAGCCCATCAAAGGAAATTCAGAATCCAAGACTAAAATTATTCGTTACAGCAAAGTTGCTAATTCAAAGCCCCTATTTGTGTTATTAATGAAGATCAACCTTCCTTTACTGAACTCCTTCCACAATCCATCCATTTCCACCAGAAAGGGCATCATTTTTCAACTTTTGCAGACCTTTGGGTAAATCCATTGAAACTGACAGATGTCTGGATTTTATCTATATACTTTTCTTAGTCATTTGTATTTCAAGACCAGTAATAAAGCAGGAAGGCATTTCCCTACATTTCCAGGTGAGGTGAAAACCCTGTTTCTGTCCTGGAAACTATTCACTGCTCTCCTTAAGCCTTCCAGTCCATCATATCTTACATACACCAATCAACAAGAACAAGACGTAAAGAGAGGAGGAGGATCTGGGAATGGATCAATCTACCTTCTAGGAGATTGACTGGCCTCAAGGAAATAGAATTCTTGGTCTTGAAGGCAACTCTTGAAAGTCTTCTTTATAACCAGCAGAAGCCTCCAAATACTTTATTTGAACAGTCATGGTTTGTATAGACTGGAAAAATAAGTCATGTTGGAAAATGAGTTAACTAACAATTTTAAACACAACTTTGCACGTAAGGCATGTTGTATTTTGAAAAATGTTAGCTAGTCATGGTCAACACTGGGAAGAGGGAAGGGGCCTAAGACTGACCATGACCATATAATACATTTTCAGCATGACTGACCTCATCCACATCTTGTGCAAAGTTGTGTTTTTGACTAACACAATTTTAATATCTTCAGGCATGCCTTATTTCCCCCAATTAGACAAACCCAAGGGGAGTGAAGAGTACAGCAAAGGAATAAACCTTGGATGATGACATCCAATTTGGACTTCAAGCAAAGTTCATACGTTTTTACAGAACAGCTGAGGAGATCTAGAACACAAAATAGGTCTTTTTGGCAGGCCATAAGCCACCACAATGATATTTGCATACTAGCTTCCAATTCTGTTTGACACTTAGATTCTTAACAAGGAAACACCAAGATAAGTCTAAGAATTCTTCATTTTATTTAACAGGACAAACTGTTAAGAGTGAATACCCTTGAAATATTTCCAGATCTGCTAAGTAAGCTGGATTTCAAATCGTCTTCCATCACTATGTCTGGTGTGATGAAAAAATGCACCAAATTGCACCAAATGGTCAAGAAGGTAGTTCTCTTGCCAATTATTATTTTTTAAATCAGGGAAGATGTTACTGAAGTGGTTGCAGTATTCTCTGACTGGGAGTAGGGTTGGGGGGAGGACAGAAATGGAAAAAAAATGGACACCACTTGGGTGGTCCAGTTATTTATACACATGCACAATATGACCATAGAGTCTTGTCCATAGAATCTGTGGAATGTTAATATATATAACAGGCAATTTTATTTTGGCAAGTTGTGGGGGCTCAGCAGAAAGAAGCAGGAAGATCTGAGAGCTCAGGGAATTGTTAATGATATAGCAACTTTAGGTTGCCTGTTCAAATACAGACAAATCTTATAGCTGCTTGGTGTCTGAGTCTAGTTCCAAGAGAAAATATCTCACATCACAAGGCCACAAACATGGATAACACCGAATATCCTCTCACACTTGGAGGTCATCTTGCTGCATCAGTGGGAGAACAATGTGGGGAAAGTTGTGCAGACGTTGCCCATTCTGTATAGTACCCGTCTGGATAAACAGAAGACTTCAATCTCCAGGGGTTGCCAATCCAACAACTCCTCACCAGCACTAAATTCCCACGACAATTAAAACAATGGAAAAAGCGAAGTTTAGAGAGTTCCTGTTGGGAATGGCCTCACCAATCTACAAGTGACATTTTCTCCACGCTCATCCCAATTATTTATGGTTTATGATACAGAATTCTATTCATTTTTTACATTGCAAACATTTTGTTAAGTAGAACATAAACTCTTACAGCATAAACTATATTGTTTGATAACAAAAATGATACTTTTCTCAAACACAGATGGAAGAACACATGCAAGGGAAACGCCAAGCAATGTTTTATTGGACATCTGCTCTTCTTGGAATGGAAACCAAAAATCGTCTTCACATTGATGAGCGCTTACACAGAGAGCAATATTTGTTTATCTGCAGTGCCACCTGCTGACAGCTTAAAGGTATTGTCCTTATAAATTGCTCTATGGTATGATGCATTTGCAGCACTGCCCAAATAATCAGTGCATAATAACTAGGAGTTAGCATGACTCTCACAGGAATCAGTTACAACCCAGTGTACTACTTGGAAAGTTTACTCCCAAATTGTCTTCGCTCAAATGCTTGCAATACCTAATCTGATTGCAATTTACACCTCCTTTTACAAATCTGTTTTACATCGACAGCTGAGGATACTATAGGATTCTTGCTCACTTTTACTGTCATTAGTACAGTGTCAGAAAGATGACCCAGCACACTGGAAGAGTACACATTAGAAGATTATCATGAATTTAACTTGACTGCTGATAAAAGTATCATATTAAAAAGTGACAGAGTGTAGAAGTCTAATAAAATTTATACCTTTTTCTGCTCACTTTTCCAAGCAGAGGATACTGTAGAATGCAAGAATGCACTGGGTGAGTCAGACAGGGTTAACATACAAACATACAATATTTTTAAATACTAGCAGCAACAGAACAATACATTTTGAACATTTAAACAACTCATTCAAACACCAGTTAAACACAGAGGAATATGCGAGTACATATAAACACCGAACACATTAGGAGAGACAGCTTGGAAGGATTCATATAAAACACACAGGATATACTAAAAAGACTTCAGTGAAAATGACGTTGGTGAGATGTCACATTCCACAGAGTCCAGTCTCAGAACATCCTGCTACTCACTCTTTCTAAGCCCAGTAAAATATGCTGGGGAAAGGAGTTTAAATTTCTGCTGTGTTTAACATTCAAATACCCTTTTTGGTGGTGAGGAGGTGGCACAGTTGTTTTGATATTAATTCTAGAGCATAACAAGTAAGAGCAGCTCAATTAAACTATGTCTGATCTGAGGCAAACTGAAAAGAATGTATAGATTCCATGGGATACAAATGTAGTTTTAAATAGTCTAACCAATATGAAAGTAAAGTAAGTGAAGAATGACATGGTCACAAATATCTTACTGGCAGCATTATTCAGAGAATATGGAGAAAATTGATCTACCTCAGCAACAAAGAGGGGAAACTCTTCTGGCAGAATCCATGAATGGGGATAGAAGTTGTACTCTTCAGGAAATAGATCCTGCATTGTTCGCACTGCCCGACTCAGGGTAATTTTACGCACCATTTCTGTCATGCCTGGAGAAAATAAAGAAGTGTTTGGAAGTGTTCAAGATTATTCACTGTGCAGCAAAGTAAAGTAAGCCTGTGTGTTGGTACTTACCATATGTTTGTGCTCTGGCCATTGTTTTCAATATATAACTAAATATTTGAAGCTACTAGTGATACTGAGTGATTTGTAGCTTTTTATGTGGGTATTTATTTATACTGCACTTACCACCGTATCACATGGTTTGGGAAAGCTTTAAGGTAGTTGACCAAATATAACTGGGAATCAAGGAAGAAGAATTTTTGTCCAAAAGTTAACTGACTCTTTGCTCCAGTCTGGAATTTTTACCTTATTTTGCCAGTGTTGCAGAGAAGGAACAGGAGACATCAATTGCTTCAGACAATTAGAATTGTACCTTCCTAAACTATTTACCCTTATTTAAACCATTACAGTATGTCAAAGAGAAGAATCTTTCTTTCCATATAAAACAACTGTTAGGTCTAGTCTTTCAGTGGCCCAATTCTGCCAAGAGCCTTCAAATCTCATGGAAGTAAATGGGAGGTGGAAATGTTGAATACCTCACAGGAAGTGCTCAGCAGATCATGGGATCAGGCCCCATTAACATTCCTGGGAGTTAAAAGTGCATTGTGAAGGGACTTCAGGATCTCGCTAACCTGTTTTTGTCAACTCTGCATCCTTCTTGTTCACCACATGGGAGGCAGGGGACAACTCGGGTAAATATCATACACATGGCATGAGATTTAAACAACCAGAATATTATAGAGCTTTACCAATGTAGGTGCATTGTCCACTTTTGTTCACAAGCAGACAAAAGTCAGTAAGTGGAGCAAAAAGTTTTATATATGGGGTTTCTTACTCACACAGCATACTAACAGCAGCAATATATCTGAAGTGAAGGGCTTAGATAAGTCAATACCTAAGCTCTTAGTTCTTATTCAGCGGGATCTATACTGGAATTGAATGAGAAATAAGGGATCTTAAAAAAGTAGAATAGTCATAATAAGATGAGAGTTGACATGAACTCTTCAATATTAAAAAATCCATTTAAGGAACTGTGCTTTGAGATTTTCCCAGAAACAAGCCAGAGCTCAATACAGAATAGATTTTTTTTTTTTTTTAGTAGAAACAAATCCTCTAAGAAGGAGCATTTTTACTGATGTTACAAGACACACAAGAATTGTTTAAATTATTTTAATTTAATTACAACCTAAAGATCAGGTTTCTCTGAATTAATGTTCTATATATGTACTGCTCCACTCTTCAAACATCCTTAGTGTCCCGTTATACTCTCAATCCACAAAGATTTTGAATTACCCATTCTGGTATTCATACCATGTCTTAACTAAATCTCTAATTATTATTGATTCATAAAACATGCCCAATAACAGGAGTCCGAGTGATCCAATTTGAACATCTTTTTTCAATATAGAACTACTCACAAATGAAGAATATGGTATACTGTGAATCAAATCGTCTACTGATGAACACAATAGGAAATTTGCCATTCATTTCAATGGGACCATGATTTGATCTGATAGATTTTTATTTGGGCATCTAGAGTCCACTCCCAATATAAGAAGCTATGAAGCCCGGTTTCATTTCATATTTATCTTCTTTTTAATGAAGGCTTTCAGTAGCATCCAAAAGGTCCTTTCACTTTACTTAACTACTGGTTAATTTTAGCATCCCTTTTACTTTATCAAAACCTCAGGATCCAAATCTACTGTACTGTAAAAGACTTCTACCAATTATCATGATAGTGTCTGAGAATTTAGATATTTGATAACTGCAGAAAGCTATCAATAGGAGAGTGCAAAAGACTGAATACAATCTAGACGAAAGGTCCAAGGAAGATCCAAGGTAACAAAAGATGGCACCATTTGTTTAAGACTTTGTTATTGCAACTGTAATCACCACTATGCAAGCGGCAAACACTCTCCTTGATGGTGAAACAGATAATCAGGCATTTACTTGCATCAGGATGAGAACACCAGACTTTTGATCAAAATAAGATGAAACCTTTCATATTTTGCAGACTGTTACAAGTGGTAACTGCCCAGCATATTACCAACAAGGTGCGTGAATATTCAGACAGCATTTCTTTAACTTCAAGCACAAGATTAATTACCTGGAAACTTGTTGACTTGACCTGAGACTATGTCATTATCATGAAATGATACCCCATGCCAATAGATATCACAGGGCAAGCGCCGACCAAATGGAAACTGGAAAAAAGATATAATACAGATTTTGAAAGAGATTGGCTACATCTACAAGTTTCTTATCTTTGTAGAAGTTCAAATAAAAATATAAGCCCTTCAGAGAACAGCATTCTGGACATCAATAAAGTCCACGCTTCATATCTAATGCCCAACTTCAATGGGAAGAGCTTATTGTAAGATATCAAAGTTGGGGCCTCTGCTAGTGTGTGAAGTAAAAGCTATTTAAAAAAAAAAAATGTATTCAACTTTCTTTCTCTCAATAAATACAAGAGAAAGATGTGGCTTCTTTGCCACTACTCTTTTGTAAATAATTACTGTTCAGATTTAATTTACTAAGTTAACTCTGGACACACATAAATTAATAATAATTTAAATTTGCAGTCTTTAAAGTATTACTTTTTCCAAATGTTGACTGCAGCTTTTCAACCAAACTGAATCATATGCTTGAGCTCAGGCTCAAACTTAAAACTGAGCGCTCAGAACAGGATATTTAAATTTAAATACAGTAGCTTTACATTGTTTTAAAACTCCTCATTGGAAACAAGGAAAAAAATCAAACAATACCAGCAGGGCTGGCCTTAGGGGTGGGCCACCAGGGCAACCTCACAGGGGCGCCATGGTCAAGGGGGCATGCTGCCAGTGTAGAGTCAGAAACTGGGCGGTCGGGGGTGTGTGTGTGTACAGATTTCTCCCTGCTTCCTCCCAGCATAGGAACATGGGGTTGGGGAGCAGTGATGCACAGATACTGCTTGTCTCCTGTAACATTCCTCCATGCCCCCTAGGGGGCTGTGAAGGGAGAGCAAGGAGTGTCACTTTTCCAACCTGGGCTGTGAGGCGAGCATCAGAAACTGCTGCTCTCCTGCCCTGCACTTATGCAGGGAGCCCTGACATCACTCCTCGCTCCCCCACATAGCCCTCTAGGGTGCATGGAGGAGCAATGCTCAAGGGGGGCAGCGAGCAGCAATGCCAGCTGCTCTATGCATCCAGGTTAGTTTCCCCACATGGGCTCAGGAGGGGGGTGCAGGAGTTAGGGGCGCAGGAGCAAAGTGCAGGGGTTGGGGCACAGGAGAGAGGTGCAGGGGTTAAGGGTGAAGGGGGCACAGTGCAGAAATTAGGGGTGCAGGGGTTGGGGCACAGGAGGGGGTGCAGGGATTGGGGCAAAGGGAGCACAGTGCAGGGGTTAGGGGCAAAGGGGAGCCTGGGGATCCCACGGAGGCCAGGGACAATGCGGGGGCACCACACCCACAGGGGCCAGGGATGCCAAAATACAAGTTCGCCCAGGGTGCCATTTTCCCTAAGGCCAGCCCTGTTACCAGATTTTAATAAACAACACATATTTCTAAAATACAAAGTGAAGCAGATGTACTATACTTTTCAGTATCAACCAGGTGCCAACTATAATTTATACTTAGGGCCCTACCAAATTCATAGCTGTGAAAAAACATATCATGGACCGTGAAATAAGCCCTCCCCCATGAAATCTAGCTATTGGAGGGGAGAAGAAGGGGCAGGGCTGAGGGCACCCCATCTGGGGGCTCTACGGTTTCCGGGGCTCCAACTGCTAGTCCCCAGGCTGGGGAGGGACGGGATTTACTCTTCCCCTGCACAGCTGTTCTCAGTGGGGGAATCAGACCCACCTCTGGGTACCTCCCCGTGTCACAGGAAGCTCCATGGCAACAGTTCTGAAGGCAGCACAGAAGTGAGGGTGGCAATCCTGCAGACTCCCCCCCGCGCGCGCACACACACACACACACACACACACACACACACACACCAGCTTTGTGACCCCTCCACATCCTTCTTTGGGTTGGAACCCCAACAGTTACAACACCATGACATTTCAAATGTAAATCTCTGAAAATGTGAAATTGACTAATTTTCAAATCCTAAGGCCATGAAATTGACCAAAATGGACCTAAATTTGGTAGGGCCCTATTTATACTATTTTGTTCATTTTATTAGCAGCAAATGGACAGCTTTTTAGCTCTGTGATAGGACGTAGAGAAAGAAGGAATGAGAAATCCATATTTGTCATTTTCTCCTGGATATTATTATTTTTCTTTTCTTTAAAAATAATACTAACTGAAGTTAAACAAACAAGCAAGCTTGCAAACAGACCAATCACAGGTGAAATGTTTATTTGAATTTATCAACTGGAGCAGAGAAATTATCCCTACAGCATTAGCCACTCACACATGTGAAAGGGTAATTTTACCATAATTACATATACCACACTGTTGCATCCTAGTGTCAAAAGCTAGGTCGTTCAAAAAATTGCATTAAAACAATGTAAAGCCTCTCAACTTCAACCAGTCAACCCTAGCAGGAAAGGCTATATTCATGAGGTCAATTTCCCAAATACACAATATGTAACCCATAAATCAAAATATTGTTTTGTCAAAATGTATACATTAATTTTCTCTAAGTCACTCATCTAGGGCTATTCTCCTGAAAAATGGACTACACGGTCATTCCTACCTGTTCAAAATCATCATCTTTTCCTCCTGCGAATCTGTGTAGGTGCTATTAATTAAATATGTCATATAGAGAATTATTCGCAAGAAGATATTGTATTAGGAGATTAAATCACTTCAAGACAAACATGTTATACTTCCGCTTCCAGTCATAGTACTTTTAGGATCCTATCCTGTGAAAATTTAGCATCAACGCCCACTGACATTAAACAATTTAACTATTAAAAACAAACTCTAACAGCACGTTGAGCCCTTACTAAACTCAATATACACTACATCAATTTTTCTGGCTTTTTATGGTTAAGTTTAATTTCCCTCCATGTAAGAAATCCTTATTAGCACTAACTTATATTAGGCAAAAGAAAGAAAAATTTAAAAAAAAGTTAGAAACTTTTCTAGTGAATCTGTTCCTTTATTTGCAACTTCAATTAAAAATTCAGTTTATTTACTAAATAATTTTGAAAAAATAATCAAAACACTAATTTAGCAATGCATTCCTTTCGCCACTTCCTAATTCATAGGAGTAACATGCACAATATAACAGAGCTAGAAAGCTCTGGTCTCATTTCATTATTATTCAGGCTGCAAAGAGAAAAAAAAATGTGGTTTTGTGTGTGTGAAAATTAATTCCGTTAGGCTCTGAAAGACAATCAGTGGCCTTAACCCTTCGCTCCACAGGTATATTCAGAATAAAAATTCTGTGCTGGTTCTCAGACTGCCCTTCCCACTAAAAACTTGAGCAATTTATTTATTTATTAAATGAAATTGAATTGAAGTGAATGAAATTTGCATTTATATAGCACCTTTCATCTACAGAGGATATCAAAGCACTTTACAAACACTGCACAGAAACCATTTCACAATGGATGAAGTGTAGGCACGTCAGGGCTGGAACATGGCTGCATTTTGCACCAGAATGTTACCCAACAGTTTGAAGGGGAAAGGGACTTCCCCATTCTGAGCAAATCAAGTGAGTATTTACACAAATCAAATTCTGGATTTACCCAAAAGTAGGACTCTTCTGAAATGTCACTGGTTCTTCAGTGTCTAAACCATGATTTAAACTTCAGAATATAGTTTATAAACAAACAGGTCAGCACCTTGGGCCTACTCTGGCAGCTAAACCCATCTTAAATCATCCCTTTGAGGAGTATCTCTATGTTGGGGAATACATACGTAGAACAAACCTGTTTTAACGGTTCTTTTTCCATTACCGCTTGATGCAGAGGGAAAAGGGGACATTATTAAGGCATCCCTTGTACCCTAATAATACCGACATCTATGGTTAGCTGGTATAAGCAGCCTCAGGTCTCTAATTTATGCCAGGCACTGGGCAAATGCACAACAGCCACAGGATTTGGGAACCATAAAAGTGGCTAAAGCCACCTTTCTCCCCTTCTTTGCAGTCTTGTGCAGAGATGACAAGAGAATCTGGTCCCTGGAGCTTTCAGTACAAAACAACTTGGGGCAGTGTCTGTAAACAATTAATCTTAACTCTTCAAGCCATTTATTTAATGCCCTCCAAGTCTGAACAAAAAAGATCTTTGAACAAAACCAGAAGAGAGAGCATAAAAATGAACTGATTTGTTTTCACAACTCTGACCCAATTAATAATCAATCATAGTCAAACTGCTCTGACAAGGCTTTTCTAGCTCTTGATAGGAAGCCAATAATTTAAACTGTGTCCCACAGGTGACATCAGTCTGTTCCATCATGTTACAGACAAGCTAAGTGACTCTTGGCTTCTTGTCAGCTTTTGCGACCACAGAATTTCAAACTGTTTCTCTGCTGCTGTGCCTCTACTGAATATATAGACAAATGGAACATTTAATGCTAGGACATTTGAGGTCTCAGCCATATGCTTCTTCCATTTTCCTGTTTGTGTCTAGCTGAAGGATTAATTTACTGAGACACGAATAAATTCAAGGTGCAAGCTTAATTTATGCCCATTATTTTATTCGGCATATCATGTCCATTTCAAGAATCTGACACACTCAGTCAGATAGTCCGCTCTAGAGGCATTAATAATTGCTTCAGTGGTATGCACATTACAATTCTGCAATGCATGTTGTGAGCTCCACCCCTGTGCATCAGCCAAGACACAGCTCTTGCTGTTGTAATTTTATTCAAAATTCCCACACCTGAAAGTTATATTGTTTTCCTATTTGTTGCTTTTGATAGCAGAATTTGAACCTGTCAATTACCCTCCTCAGAATCTTTCCCATCTTCTTGATATACCAATGTTAGCATATATAATTCATTCTCCACTCAGCTTTAATGTTACTGCTCTCTATGGTATATTTAAACAATTTGGCTTCATTTATTCAACCAACTTTGACCAAGCTGATTGTCAATCACAGCTGAAAATGGTAGACAGGGCCCTCTCTGATTACTAGCTAACAAGGCAATCACATTCTCTCTCACAGATCATATTGGCATGGCCCATCACTGCAAGTTAAAGCAAAGCACTTCACCCTTTGGCTTTTAGTCATGTTCCTAGCTACAGAATTTCAACTAATTCCTCTGCCC